CTTGTCAGGGGAGGAGGGTGGCTGGTTGATTTTTATTTTATTTATTTATTTTATTTGTATCCCCCCTATGTTAATCACTTATTGATGCTGTTTTTGAAGTATGAATAAGTCAATAAGTAATTTATTCTATTGAAATATCAGTGATGTATTATAGAAAAGTGATTAATCTTTTTATAATTGACAAAAGGCACATCTGCCTCATTTTTGCTGTGGTATCGTGATACTACTCAGAACCGTGATACTTTCACTGGTATCGTACCATGGGTCCCAATTTTGGTGCCGTGACAACACTAATCTGGAGAAAGTAAGAGAGTGGGAGAGACTGTGTGTATGTGTGTGGAGAGAGTGGGAGAGGGAGAGACTGTGGGTGTGGAGGGGGGGTGGAGAAAGACAGTATGAGAGGGAGAGACTGTGTTTGTGTGTATCTCTATTCATGGTTATTCATTTGTGTGTGAGATAAATAAATCTGGCTTTGAAAATTGGAAATGTATGGATTTTGATTTTATGTCATTTCATGTTTGTGTGAGAGAGGGAGTGCGTTTGTAAGCTGACGTGTATGATGTGCCTCTTTGTACTACCACGGTAATTTTTGTGGCTCTTGGTCTCTGATTGGTTGGCCACCCCTGTTCTATAGTTACCATTCCAAAGTGGAATGTAAAAATTACTTAGAAATGATGCCAAAACAAATGGTAGGTCGTGGAAACTAAATGTGTCCTTGCTCCAAAATTCAAATGTGGTCGTGAAGTTCAGAGTAAAGTTAAAACTATGGTCATCATTACAGTTCACATTTAACTCTGTGGGAGACTGTTGGGAAGATCTCAAAAGCAGGGCTATGAATTTTTTTAAAATAGAGGGTAAGAGAATAGCAACGAAAAAATGCTTATATTGCAAAAGAAAACAAGCAAAACTACAGCATTTATATACAATGGCTCATGCAGGGTTTGATGTGGCAGAGGAGATAACTAAACTCAAGAAGGAGATGATGAGTCTCTCTGCTGAGGCTACTAAAGGTCTCTTATTATGTAGTAGGGTCCATCATATCAAAAATAATGAAAAATGCTCTTGATATTTTTTTCAGAAAGTCACTAGTAGCAAAACCACCATAGATTCATTGCTGGATGAAAATGGGAAAGATCTAACGAATATTACAGACATTCTCTCTAGAGTACAAACCTTTTACTCAGATTTGTATAAAGAAGAACAGATAGATCCTAGGATTCTTCACAGCCTTTTGAGTAAAGTGAATACAGGTGGGGATGAAAGTTTTGATATGCTTGATAAGGACTTAACTGTTAATGAACTGTCAAAAGACATGGAGAGTATGGAAAACAATAGAGCACCTGGGGCCGATGGGTTACCCAAGGAGTTTTATGTAACCTTTTGGGAAGAACTGAAAGTGCCTCTCCTCAATGTGTTTAATGAAAGCCTGCAGAATGGTAGCTTACCACAATCATTAAGAACGGGTATCATTTCCTTCCCCGTTTAAAAAAGGTGATAAAAAAGAGATAAAGAACCGGCGCCCTCTTACTCTGCTGGGGGTGGACAGGAAAATCCCTGTCAAAGCTCTCTTTTTTCGCTTGCAAGAGATGGCAGGGCAGGTAGTAAAAGAGGATCAAACATGCGCAGTACCAGGTAGGAGCATGAGTGACAACCTTGCACTAGTTAGAGACTCTTATCTTTATGCAGCAGACCGCAGTTTGCCACTATGCATTTGCAGGTTGGATCTTGAAAAAGCGTTTGATAAAATTAGTCATAGTTACATCAAAGAAGTATTAGCCAAACTGGGCTTTGGCCCTAAGCTTAGAGCATGGGTAAACCTTCTCTATACAGACTGTGTAAGCAAGGTTATTGTCAATGGTCACTCTACAGAAAGTTTTGAAGTTCATTCAGGTGTCAGACAGGGATCCCCGCTATCAGTCATGCTGTTTATTTTTTCCATTGAGCCTTTGGCCTGTGCCATAAGACAAGATCCCTCCATTCATGGCCTCCCTGTCCCCGGAAGCGGTGGGCACAAGGCCAAGTTATCTTTGTATATGGATGACTTGACTGTTTTTTGTTTGGACAATAGGTCGGTGGCTAATACCCTGTATTGGTGCGAGCAGTTTTCTCTCACATCCAATGCTAAACTCAATAAGACAAAAAGTGAAATCTTGTACTGCAACTGGCCGGAATCCAAATTAAATCTAGGCCTGGTTATAAGGGAAGAGAGGATCAAAATTTTAGGAATTGAGTTTGGAAAAGATATGGTGAGAACAAATTGGGAGAAAAAACTTCCTAAGATTAGGGGTAAATTGCTTAAGTGGGAAAAAAGAGAACTCACTTTTACAGGGAAGGTACCTGTGATTAATGCAGAGATCCTTGCCCCCCTGACATTCCTTGGTGCAACTTTACCTGCCCCCAAGTCTTTTATCACATCCCTAAGAAGATGCATTTTTCAGTTCTTATGGGGTGCACAACAGGAGCGAATTAAAAGAGAAATAATGTATAGACCATTAAGTAAAGGGGGAAAGGAGGTGCCTGATCTGGCTGAAAAATTGGAAGCACTGTTTTTAACTCCCATACTGAATGTTGTACTAAATGAAAGTAAGAGAAGTCTTTGGGGTAATTTTGCTAAATTCTGGGTTGGACACCAGGTACTAAAAAAAAGCAGGAATTAGGTTTCCCCTGGATACCCCACATGCAGAAAATAGACCTCCACTTTATGAGAAAGTAATATCCTTTGTTAAATCAGGGAGCTGTGTAAAACTTTCATTGGGACAAATGAACAGAGTAGATATAGAGGAATGCTTAAAACCCAAAAAATCAAAAGTGGTGCCTGTTGGTAAATTAATTGAAGTTGAATGTCTTAAAGTGTGGAAAAATGTTAATGCACACTTTCTTTTAAATGAATATAAAGATATAGCATGGCAAATAGTACACAAGTGCCTGCCAACTAGGGAATTTTTAAAGAGAAGAGGGTGCTCTGCGAGCTCTTTGTGTCCAAGAGTTGGCTGTGGGGGTGAGGAAAATGTGTCACATGTGTTCTAGTCATGTAGCTTCACTCAGGAAGTTAGGGCCTCCTTTAGGGTGTGGCTAACAGAGCTATACAGAGTGCCCACTGAATCTGATGTTTTGTATGGTGAGTTGCAAAACAGTGATAGAAAAAAGTGGGATAGATGGTGGGCGGTGATTAATTGTGTTAAAGAAGCCATATGGAGGAGTAGAAATGTGATGGTTTTTAAGAAATTTTTATTGTCAACAGAATCCACAACAAACCTAAGTCTAAAATTGACAAGGGACTATCTGTTAAGAGATAAGAAAAAATATAAAAATTGGGAATGCAAAGATCTGTGGAAAATAGGAAATTGTAATATATCCAAAAAGCTGTTAGAAATAGCCTATCTTTAACACTATTTAAAGGTGTGGGTCTGTATTATTCACAATTATTATTGTTCTGTTTTGTAAACATGAGTGTGCGTACATAAATTTGAGTGTGTATACATTCTCCTATGTCATGTATGATGGATTTGTTTTCTTAAAAAACCTTATTGTGGGATTTAAGTGGTAAAATGTATCTCTTTGTTTGAACTAAATGAACGTCTAAAATCAGTCTGTTCTTATCAGTTTAATATCTGATACGGCCTCTACCCGGGGACCATATACTAAATTGATTTTTGGAATAGGGAGATTGAAAAGGGGCTTGCCCCGTCCACTCCACGCATCAACCTGGTATTGCAGCACCTCCAGGACCAGTGCACCCCCCTCCCTTAACTTGTTCAAAACAGACCAATGTAGGTGCCCTCGCCTTGTTCTCGCCATGCTAGGATACTGTCAAAAGCTCTCTTTTTTCGAATGTAACCAGTGATTGATCAGTTGGCTGGTATAGATCAAACGTGGGGTTCTTGGCCGGTCCATGTCAGACAGCCTGGCCCTAGTAAGAGATTCTTACCTGTATGCCCAAGATCGTCATCTTCCCCTTTGCATTTTAGGGTTACATTTAGAGAAGACATTTGATAGTATCAGCCACCAGTATTTGAAGGCTGTCATGTCCAAACTCAATTTTGGCACCAAATTTAGAACATGGGTAGACCTGTTGTGTTTTGACATGACAAGCACGGTTTTGGTTGATGGAAAATGTACAGCACCATTTGATGTAAAATCAGGTGTAAGACAAGTCTGTCCACTTTCCCCAACCTTGTTCATTCTTGCAATCGAACCCCTTGCATGTGTACTAAGGCACGCAAAAAACATCAGGGGCCTCCTGATCCCAGGGGCAACAGGTAAGGAAGCTAAACTGAGTCTGTATATGGATGACCTAACCCTCCTCCTAATAGACAATAAATCAATAACAGACACCTTACTTATTTGTGATCATTTTACCTGTGCATCAGGAACAAAAATTAACAAGGGGAAATGTGAGTTACTCTGCCTCAACTGGAGGGAACCAGTAGGACACTTCGGCCTCGTACAAAAAAATGAAACAATAAAAGTTTTAGGGGTAAAAATAGGGAAAGACGTGGAAAAAATCAACTGGGAGTCAAAACTACCCAAAATTAGAGGTAAGCTCCTCCAGTGGCAGGACAGAGACTTACTTATATTAGATTGTGCCTAAGTACAGCAGGTTTCACAACAGGTTGGCAGAGGCTAGAAATAGGCATCATGGCAGGGTGTACAATTTCTCCATTAGCATTTACTATGGCAATGGAAGTAATCATCAGGGCTTCTAAGTGGGTGGTAGGTGGGGAGAGACGGCAGAATGGGTTGCATCTTCCACCAGTTAGGGCTTACATGGATGACATGACACTGGTGACCACAACAATGCCATGTACAAAGAGGCTACTAGAGAAGGTAAATAAGAACCTCAAGTGGGCCAGCATGAAAATCAAGCCTAGTAAATCTAGAAGCATCTCGATATGTAGAGGGAAGTTAAGTGATAGGAAGTTTGTCATAGATGATGAGGACATCCCAACAATTAGGGAAAAGTCAGTAAAGAGCTTAGGTAGGTGGTACAATGTAGAGTTGAATGATAAGGAACAGGTGGTGAAATTTAGAAAAGATGTGGCTGAAGGATTGGATAGAATAGATAAATCAGAACTTCCAGGAAAGTTGAAGTTGTGGTGTTTGCAATTTGGGCTATATCCTAGGTTAATGTGGCCATTGTCAGTTTATGAAATTCCAATATCTGTTGTGGAGAGAATGGAAAGGTCGGTTAGCTCCTACATTAGGAAGTGGTTGGGCGCTCCTAGGTGCCTAAGTAGTGTTGCATTGTATGGAAAAGGGATACTTCAGCTGCCAGTATCTAGTTTAACAGAGGAATTTAAATGTACCAAGGTCAGGACAGAGCTCTTGTTATCTGGGAGTAAGGACGTGGTAGTTAGGAGTGTGGTTCCAAATCCAACCAAGGGGAGGAAGTGGAACCCAAGATCGGCAGTTCAGGAGGCAGAGGCAGCTCTTAGACATGCAGAGATTGTAGGTAATGTTCAGTTTGGCCGGGGAGGCCTGGGGCTTGGCTCAGGTAAACCGGTATGGAATACAGCAGGCCTCAAAGATAAAAGAAAGCTGGTTGTAGAACAGATACGCAGACAGGAAGAGATAGTAAGGGGTGCAAAGGTAGTGGCCCAGGCTAAACAGGGACAGTGGTTGAATTGGGAAAGTGTAGAGAAGAGGAAGCTTAGTTGGAGGGACCTGTGGAGTATGGAGGAGAATCGTATTAGATTCCTGGTAGGGGCTACATACGATGTGTTACCAACCCCCCAGAACCTAAAACTGTGGGTAAATGAGGACCCATCATGCCCATTGTGTTCACGTACCGCAACTTTAAAGCATATTTTGTCAGGCTGTAAAGTTAGCTTGTCACAAGGCCGATATACATGGCGACATAATCAGGTGTTGAAATGTTTAGCTGCAGGCATCGAAGGGAAACGAAGACAGGTGAATTCAGAAGGTGTTAAGGATAGGGGCTTAGTAATTCAGTTTGTCCGTGAGGGAGAGAAATACAGAAGGGATAAGTTAGTGAGGAGGCAAGGGTGTGGCCGCCTAGAAGGTGCTTGTGATTGGGAAATGCAAGTAGATTTAGGGGGAAAGCTTGTTGTTCCTCAGGAAATAGTCTGTACCAGGCAGAGGCCTGACTTAGTGTTGTGGTCAGTGAGTCAACAGATAGTTTATTTCATTGAGCTGACAGTTCCTTGGGAAGACTCAGTGGAAGAAGCCTATGAAAGAAAAAAGCTTAGATATGCAGACTTAGGAGCAGAAGCTGAGCAGCGAGGATGGAAGACTAGGATTTGTCCAGTGGAAGTGGGGTGTAGGGGATTCATAGCAAGATCAACTGTCTCACTCCTGGGGGAACTCGGAGTGCGGGGACAGAATTTGAGGAAGACAGTGAGGGAAATGTCAGATGAAGCAATTAAATGCAGCCAGTTTATCTATTACAGAAGAAATAATGTCAGCTGGGGGCCAGCAGGGGGAACTACTAAGCAGGGCACATAACTCCTTGAGATCAGGTGGAGAGATCCACTTCCTGTCAGGAGAAATCCAGGAAGAGGAAGTATTTAAGTGTGGGAGTGGCCTATTGGAATCCATTTTGTTTGAGGCCATGCGGCAAGGTGAGTGTGCTTGCTGATCCTGTAAGTCCAGTTAGCTCCTTTAACTTTAGCTTATATTGTAGTTATGCTATGTAGTGTGTGAAATAGAGTATGGTGAATGTGACAGGAAAGCTAGTATCAGCATTGCTTCTGCCTGGAGCTCGCATGTATGGAGCCTGGGTTTGGTTGAAGATGGCAGTGCTGTTTGGGCTGAGAAAGCCATGTGTAAGTAAGAAGGAAATCCAGGAAGAGGAAGGTTATTTAAGTGTGGGAGTGGCCTATTTGAATCCATTTTGTTTGAGACCATGCTGCAAAGTGAGTGTGTTTGCTGATCCTGTGAGTTCATTTATCTCCTTTAACTTTAGCTTACATTGTAGTTATGCTATGTAGCGTGTGAAATAGAGTATGGTGAATGTGCTAGTAAAGGTAGTATCAGCATTGCTTCTGCCTGGAGCTCGCATAAACGGAGCCTGGGCTTGGTTGAAGTTGGCAGTGCTGTTTGGGCTGAGATCACTGTCCAGCCTCCTGGAGGTGTCATTGTTGTGAGGGCTCGTCCTGGGGAGGTAGACTGTACAGCCTAACCCGGCGGGGGAGTGTGATAGCCTAACAAGGCTTCCTTCCCTGGGTCTACCTCCTCTGTGGTAGTATAGGTAAGGTAAAGGAGGTTGTTCGGTTAGTGTGGGGAGCAGTGAGACCTGGCATTAGGGGAGTGTCTCTGGGACGCCAGAGATCACTGTCTAGCCTCCTGGAGGTGTCGTGGGACTAACTAGACGAAACACCGGTGAAAGGAGGTTCCCACCCGATGACCCCAAAGACATGCTAGTTATCACTGCTCATGGGTCTGTATAGTTAAGCCTTGCCATAATAGCTTATCGTAGGGCTTAGGAGGATTATTCACTGAGCGCTGATCCCTTTTTTTTTTTTTATTATTATTATTAGAGCACAAACTTCTTGTGTTTATTTGAATCCCTAGCCTTGAGTGCACAAAGACTTGGCTTGGCAGATTGTCCACCAGTGTTTGCCCATGAGAGCTTTCCTTGAAAGAAGAGGGTGCACCCGCAGTGCTAAATGCCGCGGCCTTCCTGTGGAGACAGCGAAACTGTTGAACTTCTTTTTTGGGCATGTCCCAGCACTAGAGGTGTTTGGTTATTAGTGCTGCCATGGCTGCAAGCATTGTACAGAGGTCCAAAGTGTTATGAGGACATAGCTTATGGCTGCTTGCAAAGAAATCCAACAGATAAAATGAAAAAATGGCTGTCATTACTGGACTAGAGCATCTTGCGTGACCAAGATGACCCCATGCACCACATTATGAATCCCCTTTTCTTTTTTAACATTATACATTCTGAGCATTTTCATATTATTTTGCTCATTGGGTGGACTTTTAATTTTCTGTTTTACTGAGTATTGTTAAATTAATCATTCACAGCTAGACCTCTCAATGACAAGGACAGTCTGGAGAATATTATTCACCTCCAACAGATCCTTAGTGTTTTTTCTTTGCCTTTTGGCTAAGATCAACCTGAAGCAAACTCATCCTCTCCTTAATCTCCCACCAGGTGGCGTAATCATATCAGCCACTATGCAGTCAGCAGAGAGACCAGCTGAACTCCAAAGACAAAAATACTGCTTTTCCTAGCATGGTTTTGTTTGGAAGGAAGGTCCTCTTCCATGCACTGGTCAAAGCCAGAAGATATCAAGGTCTACTTCAACAGCAGTACTGGGATGGAGAAAAGGCACTGCTTTCCACCTGGAGCTGTTTCAAGTTTTGTTGTGGTGCCAAAACAACTGGGTGTGCCAATTAAGATGGTTATTTTACTCCTCTATATTTTTCAGAGTCTGCAAATATTTCTTACAAAATTGTTTTTTTTATCAATTTAAATAGCCAAATTTCAACTATCATTTGGAACAAGAAACCACCCAGAATCAAGGGAAAAATACTACAAAGACCTCGTAAAACAGGGTGATGTCACTTCCAAATTCTTCCTATTATTATTGGGCAGCTAACATCAGAGCAGTATTGGATTGGTTAAGGAATGACACTACTGCTAGCTGGGTAATAATGGAGAGAGCATCCACACAGTTTACTCCCCTATCAGTACTGTATGCTAAATTGCCACTATCACAGTCTTTGTCCAATGTCACATCAAATCCAGTTGTAAAGTATGCTATTAAGATATTT